AATTCATCCTAATAAAATGTCTTTGAAAAAGTAGACAGAGTTACAACATACAACAGCAACAAAATGGTGCCCAGGTCAGACGTGACATCTTAGTGCAATAACATGGTCCATTAGTCATAATCTGGTCACTAGTGAAATCACTAAAATGCTAACAAAACTTTCACTAACAGGGAATCCATCTAATCCCCTAATTTCAGTGACTCTGATCCCCTAATCTCCTCAAATCAGGAACCAATGTCGCCTAGACTCAGCACATTCGCTGAAGTAAGCAGCCCATCTCCTAATACAATAGGTACGTATCTAACTACTAGAGATTGGGCCGATTCCTTCATTAATATTTGTAAAGTGCTTTCGAGATATAAAGCGCTAGGTAAGTGCTAAGCGTTGTTATTACTCCCTGACCTCAGCCTGGGCAAGGCAGGAACATGCTCCTTTCCCCAAGGCTAGCAGACAGTTTGAGGCAGAGTGTCACTCTCCCTACATGTCAGCACCCCAGGCAGACTGCTGTCAATGGTAAACCGAGCCCACTAGCCCGATTCCCTAAATTCTGCAAACTTCACAAACTCTCCTTGTTACTTTAAACCAGCGATGGACAACCTAGGTGAATGAGTGGGCTGTAAAATTGTCATAACCAAGACAGTCTCCTGGGATAGTGTAGTTTTACTAACTGCGCTTGAGCACTTAGAATTTGTGGGGTGTGCCGACTGAACTGTAGTAGCGCTTTGACTGGATGCAGGAGTGCACGGCTCACACAATCAGTGGTGTGTGCAGTCAGCACAACTCACTTCACATGCCCTTGTTTTACCTGTGGGTCACTTCAGTAATACCAGTAGGGAAAAAAGCTGTGGACAGAAACCAGCGGATCTGGCAACCCTGGGCTCGTCTACACTGGCCCCTTTTCCGGAAGGGGCATGTAAATTTCAGCAGTCGTCGTAGGGAAATCCGCGGGGGATTTAAATATCCCCCGCGGCATTTAAATAAAAATGTCCGCCGCTTTTTTCCGGCTTTTAAAAAAGCCGGAAAAGAGCGTCTAGACTGGCCCCGATCCTCCGGAAAAAGCGCCCTTTTTCCTACTTCAAAGTAGGAATAAGAGCCTCCGGAAAAGGGCGCTTTTTCCGGAGGATCGGGGCCAGTCTAGACGCTCTTTTCCGGCTTTTTTAAAAGCCGGAAAAAAGCGGCGGACATTTTTATTTAAATGCCGCGGGGGATATTTAAATCCCCCGCGGATTTCCCTACGACGACTGCTGAAATTTACATGCCCCTTCCGGAAAAGGGGCCAGTGTAGACGTAGCCCCTGTGTGTGGGTAACAGTACATAAAATGTTTCGTGGGCCACACACAGAAGCCCGATGGGCGTCAATTTGCCCATCACTGTTCTAATCTGCACTGCTTATTGTAATGCTTTCCTGAAAATCACCTTTTTAATTCCCTCGCCACATGCTGTTGCCCTGCACTTCCAAATGGAGGATAGTATTAACACAGCTGTTCTCGTTCGGGTGCCAGAACCATTCGTGTTGTCAGCACAATGCTGGTTAACTGCTGCTGCAGAGCCAGCAAGGGGAATACACCAGATTGTTCTTTTTGGTAGGGACTACTAACAAAAATGGGACTTTGTTGCTCAGCAACAAATAGATTTTAAAAAAAGTTATTTAGAATCTTGCCAGAGTTTTAAGAAAGGTCCCATCTGGGAGCTAAGCTTCTGGGACAGTGAACAGATTTTGGTTTAGTGTTTATAAATGGAAACAGCTGCACATCCTATGATTAAGCACCTCATGGTGGAGACTGAGGAGTCTACCCTACATGATGTTGTCACACTGGATACACAGGATCTATTCAACACTGCCATGCTGGGTGGGTGTAAAAATGTTCCTGCTCTTATTTAGGGACATTTTACACCATTTTTGTTTAGTGTTTGTACAGCACCTAGCATGACCACCCAACAACAACAAAGATGTACCGTGATAGGGAATCGGACCCATCGATTTCTCTTGTGTGATGGGGCTAACCTATCACATGCATGGAATTCTCACTGCACGGGGAACTGCCCAGCCCAAGGCTCCTGTAAGATGGGGGCATTTTACAGCTGACTCCCAACAAGAGATTCTTTTCCGGTGAAGGAGGGCAGAGCTGCAGAGACACAGACGAATTCTGCTGAGTTCTGAATTGAAGTCTTTTTCCAGTTAAAGGACTCTTATAAGTCACTGTGTGTTTAACTGCCTCGGCAGTTAATCTCCCTCCTGCTTTCATCATCGGAAAACCCCTTCTATTCATTCAATGGAGCCAGCAAGCTACCCAGGGCATTGGAATTGAGAGCAACTGGACTGGTTGCTCAGAGACAATTTTGCTGACAGTATATTGGGGCTTTTAAATGAGTTGTCGTGCAGTACGGTGAAGGGGAGGAACCCCTGTGGGGAGGGAGGCATGCCATGAGCTTGGATCAAAGGGCCTCCACTTTGAAACAAGGATTTGCAAAAACAGCACCTCCTGCCCACCCCATTCTCCCCTCAGCCTCCAAACTGAGGGAATGGCAAGGGAAGGGGAGAGAAAACATTCTTCTTGCTCCAGGAAGGCTTCCCAATTTGCAGAATGAATACCTTCTGAAAAGCTTAGCAGCTCTGTAAACATACATGAGATTTCAACACTCAGTAAAAGTTCATCTTTTCCCTGAACTCCGACGGCAAAGACCGGTGTTGGCCTGCGAGGAAGGTGGACTGAGGACCAGGAACAAGCCCAAGGAGGCTCCCAGGCACCACAGGGAACTGGTGGATAATCCTGGGAACTGGCAAGTCTTAAATACTAAAAGCTAGTTTAAACCATGTGGTACTGAGATGAAAATCCAGTCAGTCTGTGGTGGGAACATCACCAGTTCTGAGTGGTCCAGGGAGCTGTGAAGTGATGAAGGTGAGACCCAAGAGACCTTCCCCACCTCTCTGGTGGAGGTTGGATGCAGCAGTGGCCTTCGGCTCTCTAGTACATGGATTTCCTTTCTTCTCAGAAGAAGCCTGGTAGTCACTGAACTCAGAGGTAATCAGGGGAGCGAAAACACACAGTGCCAGCCTGATTCTCGCTGTGCCTGGTCGGGAGAGGGTGGCTGCATTCCCCGGGAATACAGCTTCAATGGCTTTAAAACGGGAGAGAGTGTCCTATAAAACAAACACCATGAAAGGGTGACGAATTGGTGCTTGGGTCAGACATGACGTGTTAGTGCAATTGGGCCCAAAGTTGCAATCTGATCGCTACTGACACCACTTAAATGACAAGGAGGAGGTGATTTGACCCTCACTTCTCTTTACCCAGTCCTCTAACCTCAGGGAATCCACCCTCTGACTCCAGCAGACTCCCCGGAGCAGGAAATCTGAGCCCTGTGCCTCAGCAGATGGCCTGAGGCTGGGAATCTGCCCCCTGATTTAATCTAGTTGGCTGAGGTAGGGAAACCAAACATGTAACTCCACTGACGAGACTCTCTTAGCGCAGCAGGCTTTCAAAGGCAGTGCCTCTTCTCCCAAACTTAAGCATACGACCCAACATACGGAATCCATCCCCCTGGCGTCAGCATGGCACCCCAGAGGGAACATTCTCAGGCGTCTCCACACTTCCGAACTGCCCAATGACCAGCTCCTCCAAGTGTTATCCCAGCATTCAGCTCATGGGATTGGCTTTTGGAGCCTCACCCCTCCACCCCTGCACTAGAGGGCTGAGATCATGAGGTCCTCCTGCTTGGCAGGGCTGGTCACATGACCAGCT